CCAAGGGTCACCGCCCCCAGCGAGTCGCCGAAGTTTGGGCTCCCACCCCGCGTGGGCACGAGCCCATCCCTCATCTCCTTCTTCTCGGCCCCCCGGCCCCACGGAGCTGCCTGTCAGCCTCCCTCATACCTAGAAGGGCCAGTCTCCACTCGTGGCTCAGTGCCAGGCCCGGTCACAGCGCGGGGCGGCGAAGATACGTGGAAACCCAGGGCCCTGTCACCCACTCGCGGCTGGAGGTGGGGGAAGGGCGGCCGCCGGTGCGCTCACAGCCTCGCACATGCGCAGATGCAGCGGCTGCTAGCCATCCCAGGGTCCTCCGAGGACCGGTCCAGCGATCTCCGAGACTACGTTTCCCATAAGTCCGCGGGGCCATGCTCTAGGGACTCTCAGGAAAGTCTTCGCCTGGCTTAGCCCGCTGGGAGGAGCGCTGACCAAGATAACCCCTTGGCTTGGACTGTTCATTTCGTCCAGGTCAGGTTATGAGTTACAATCACTATCTCCCCCCCAGTATAAAAACCTGCCTTTTAAAAGTTACACAGGTAATCTACGATATCTGTATTTGAAATAGAATCTATGTATAAAATAAAAGAAAGGAAAAAAAAGCGCAAATACCCATAATCTCACTTTTCAAAGATAACTGTTAAGTTCACACCTTTAAAATAGCATTGGCCATAAAGCTATTATGTACTGCAACTAGCTTTTTTACTTTGTTTAGAGCAGTTTTAGGTTCACAGTAAAATTTGAGGGGAAAAAGTACAGAAAGTTCCCAGATACCACCTTTCCCCACACATGTAGAGCCTCCTCCACTATTAGCATCCCCTACTAGAGTGGAACATTTGTTACAACCCAATGTATACTGACACATCACCCAAAGTCAATAGTCTACATGAGGGTCCACTCTTGGGGTCATATATTCTATGGGTTTTGATAAATATGAAATGACATGTATCCACCACTATAGTATCAGAATAGTTCCACTGCCCTAAAAATCCCCTGTGCTCCATCTATTCATTTCTCCCTCTTTCTCCCTGAGCCCTTGGCTAATCTGTTTTCTTCACAGTTTTTGCCTTTTCCAGAACGTTAGATAGTTGGAATCATGCAGTATGTAGTCTTTTCAGATTGGTTTCTTTACTTAGTATATGCATTTAAGGCTTAATAGCTCATTTCCTCTAGATATACTACAATTAATCCATTCACCTATTGGACATCTTGGTTACTATCAAGTTTTGACAATTATGAATAAAGCTGCTATAATCATACACAGGGTCTTCTGTGCACATAAAATAAGTTATTCATTTGGATAAATATCAAGGATGACAATTGTTAGGTCATACGGTAAGAACAATCTAACAGTTTTGTAAAAAAAAACAACAAAAAAAAAACCAAAGGCAGAATTCATAAAGGAAATAACTGACAAATTCAACTATAGAAAAAAGTTAAATTTTGAAAAAAACATGCTATAAGCAAAGTTAAAGACAAACTGGGAAAATATATGAGTTACATGTATGCAAGAAAAAAGATAGCCTTAATTTATAAATTCCTTTTTTTTACTCTTATTAAAATTTTAATTTATTGGGGTGATATTGATTAATAAAACTATATAGGTTTTAGGGGTACAGTTCTCTAATACATCAGTTGTTATTGCATTGTGTGTTCACAACCCCTATAAACTCTTCTTGAAACTTAATTTAACCCCAATAAGAAAAATAAGATAAGGTTATAAATAGCCAATTTAAAAAGAAATACATAGAACAATAAAGGTGTCACAAATGTTTCTCTTTGCTAAAAATAAAAGAACAATATTATAACATATGTCATATCATGGTATAAGTTTGGCCAATATATTGATACCCAGGGTTGGAACAATTAGGAAAAATATTTTTTATACAATCCTAATAGGACTATACTACTAAAATCTTTCTGAAGGCTTTATTGTATCAAAATTTTAAATTATCGTCCTGACTGGTTTGGCTCAGTGGATAGAGCATTGGCCTGCGGACTCAAGGGTCCCAGGTTCGATTCCGGTCAAGGGCATATACCTTGGTTGCGGGCACATCCCCAGTGGGGAGTGTGCAGGAGGCAGCTGATTGATGTTTCTCTCTCATCGATGTTTCGGACTCTCTATCCCTTTCCCTTCCTCTGTAAAAAATCAATAAAAAAATATATTTAAAAAAATTTTTTAAATTATCATAGCCTTTAATCTAGTTCAAAAGTGCATGTACAGAATATTCTCACATTGCAACTTATATTTGCAAAACATTGGAAACAATCTAAAAACCTTTCAATAGATAAAAGTAAAATAAATTGCCGAAACCGGTTTGGCTCAGTGGATAGAGCGTCGGCCTGTGGACTGAAAGGTCCCAGGTTCGATTCCGGTCAAGGGCATGTACCTTGGTTGCGGGCACATCCCCAGTAAGAGATGTGCAGGAGGCAGCTGATCGATGTTTCTCTCTCATCGATGTTTCTAACTCTCTATCTCTCTCCCTTCCTCTCTGTAAAAAATCAATAAAATATATTTTTTTTAAAAAAAGTAAAATAAATTATGTGATAAGTAAATAGAATTTGGGGAGACAATGAAAATGATAATGTATACTAACTACATGGCAGAAGTATCTAATTCAGGAATTTTTCAAAAATGTAGATCAGCCGAAACCGGTTTGGCTCAGTGGATAGAGCGTTGGCCTGTGGACTGAAAGGTCCCAGGTTCGATTCTGGTCAAGGGCATGTACCTTGGTTGCGGGCACATCCCCAGTGGGAGATGTGCAGGAGGCAGCTGATCGATGTTTCTCTCTCATCGATGTTTCTAACTCTCTATCTCTCTCCCTTCCTCTCTGTAAAAATTCAATAAAATATATTTTAAAAATGTAGATCAAAGAAGAGTAGATAGAATGTGATTCCATTTTTATAAAAATTATGTATATTTTGAAAGAATTAATGAAATGGTTTTCTTTGCCATTTATATGCTGAAAACACTGGGTTGTTTATTCTGAAGAATTTCCAGACAATCTGGATTTTCCTGATGACCTTAAATTTTAATTATCAATTTTTGTTCTTTCATCTAGACTCTGAACTTGAGAAGGTCGATGTTTAAGAAATTTTGGCCAAATTTTAGCAGTGATTCCTCACTCTTTGCCAGGTCTTACAATGATTCTTTTTTAAAGTGATTGAGTGATGGCTTCAGGTTTCTCCTCCAGGTGTGTGTTTGTTGTTGTTTTTTAAAATATATTTTTATTTATTTCAGAAAGGAAGGGAGAGGGAGAGATGGAAACATCAATGATGTGAATCATTGATCAGCTTCCTCCTGCACACCCGACACTGGGGATGGGGCCCACAACCCTGGGCATGTGCCCTTGACCAGAATAGAACCTGGGACCCTTCAGTCCGCAGGCCGATGCTCTACCCACTGAGCAAACTGGCTAGGGCTCCCCTAGTGTTGTTAGTTCCTACTCTTTTATTCAGAATTTCTGCCATCAAGATTGTCAAGCTTCTGGGTAGCAGACACAGTGTGAGGGCACAGCTGTGAGCGCCTCGTGAGCTTACATTCTAGTCGGGAGGACAGGCAATAAGCACTAAGTGAAATACAGCATGTCAGGTGGCATTCACTGCTAAAATGCTGGTATCAGGAGTGCTGGCAGCGGGTGGTGGTGGTGCACTTTTGAACAGAGTGAATAGGGAAGTCTTTACTGAACAGATAAGGTTGAACCAAGACCCCATAATCAGATATTAGGATCCATAACCAGATCCCTACTGGCAGATGTTCCTTTCCTTGGATTATTTCCAACGTCTGAGAACACCACTCCATCTAAGCACCAATTCCTCATGGCAAGTGGACCTGCCTCCTTCTTTTATACCTGAGATGATGGGAAGGAATGAGACCTAATCACAGCTCTCCCCTCCTCATTTGGGCTCTCGTAAGTGGCCTTCAATCTATTTTTCTCGGCAAAATTTCAAAGCAGGAAGCCTGCAAAAATTATCCTGATACAAAGCAGAGTGAATATCTCATGCTCTTTCCTTTATTTTTAACATAAGTTAACTCTGGGGAATGAAACAGCTGAAACCTTGCAAAATCCAGTTATTTTACTGAGCATTTGACAAGTCAATCTTTCTCCCTGATGAATGGAGGATTCTTACACGGCCAATGACTTAGAAAGGATCCTCTGGGCATACGAGGACTGTCTTTCTCATTTATCTCTGCCTTCCCAGCACTGTGCTTGGCATAGGTGAGAAATGGATGAATGACCTGACGATGCTTGAAACCCAACTACTACCAGCACCATCCAATCCTGTGGCCCTGTCCACCTGAGTAACAAGTGCTGCCCCTGCATCCTGCATCCTGCTGGAGTGGGCATTACCAGCATCACCCCATTTTTCAGTGCTGCCCATGTGAGTGAAACAGGTGTGCCCCTGCATAGTGCCAGAGGAGGTAGCTGCCCCTTCAGTCCCTCCTCCTGCTGGCCAGGTCTTGGGAATGCAAAGAACTCCAGCTAGTTCCTTGCTCTATCCCCTCCTTGTGGAGCAACACCTAACGATTTTCTTATTTATTCTACATTGAGAAGGAAAAGAGTCGTAGTCATTCTGAGTAAGTGTTAGTATTGGAAGTATTGTTTTTATAGAGGATTTAGAGATAACTTCATGTAGGTCAGGACGACATAGGTATAACTATTACCAGGCAAAGTACTATTAGAAAATGAAGCCTTTGAATCAAAGCTTCCCTTATTTTATGTGTAGACCAGAGATAAAAGGATCAGGGATCTGTTAGTCCGAATACCTGTTTACAAATGGAAAAAACTAAAGCCTGGAGAAGTCAACAATTCTGCCCAGCCAGTGTGGTTCAGTGGTTGAGCCTCGACCCCTGAACCAAGAGGTCACTAGTTCGGCTGCCAATCAGGGCACATGCCAGGGTAGTGGGCTTGATCCCCAGTAGGGGCCATGCAGGGGGCAGCCGATGGATGATGTTTTTCTCTCATGGATGTTTCTATCTCTCTATCCTTCTCATTTCCTCTCTCTGTAAAGATCAATAAAAACATGAAATAAAATAAAAACAACAAGTTTTAATTCTGACAAAGATAATCTATTTATGGTTTCAAAATGCTAATATGACTGTGTCCAGGTGTCCCTATGGGAACCTTTTTTCTGCCTAGGGCCATTTGGATATTTATAACATTATTCGCAGGCCATACAAAATTATCAAGTTAAAAATCAAACACAGCCTGCTATGTTTGATCAAACATTTAATGAACTCACCCCTAATGCCTTGGCAGGGCCAGACCAAATGATTTCGCAAGCCTTATATGGCTTGTGAGACGTTACCCACCCCTGCAAGTCTAGAAGGACTCAGAGAATTCAGCAAGCAGTTAATACTCCTGGTTACAGTTTACTGAGTGGAATGATACAGACTAAAATCACAGTGGGAAAAGGTACAAAGGTCAGGGTCCTAAAGACACCAGAACAAGATTCCAGTTGTCCTCTCTCAGTGGAGTCTCGCAGGCTGCGCTCAG